TTTTCTTTGCAATTGATTACACACCTGTGAAGGGGTACAAGCCTGCTAGACTTATTCTCTGACCTTACAATATTCCCCAAAGTGTATTAATTGCTCCGTTTCATCTTAAGTGGGGTCAGGTAACCAGACTACAAGAATATGATGGATTTTCTTGGTTTTTCCAGCATCTACAAGCCCAGAACGTGAATTAAGTCAGTCTAACAATATTTTCTATAACAAACCAATCCTCCAAATCCATTTATTTCTGAAAATTGCAGCAAAAACAAATGTTGTACATTCCCTTTAAAATTAAAAAAGGAATTGATAAGGTGATTGCATTTGATAAGGTGATTGCAATGTGGAGGGCACTGATTCGTGGTCTGTGGGTAAAGCTGCAGGTCGTGGGTTCGAGTCCTGGCGGGGTCATGGTGCGTGTGCCCTTGAGCAAGGCACTTTGTCACTCATTGCTTCTCCCCACCCAGGAGTAAATGGGTACCTATGAGGGCAGTGATGGTTATTGTGATTGAATTAGCTTCCTTGCGCCTAACAGGCAGCATCGAGCTGTATACTCCCCAGGGAGCTGAGATGGTATATGGAATGTTTAATTGGCCCAATGATTAGGGGTAATAATAATGTAAAGCGCTTTGATCTTAGTTAAAAGCGCTATATAAGAACCTGTTATTATTATTATTATTTTATTATTTCTATCATACCGACAACACCAACATTTTCTTCCCTCTAAGATGATTTAAGCCGAGTCAACGACCACTATACGTTCGCTCCGGGAATTGTTTTTTGGGTACACTTTTGCCTCCCTCTAGATTGCTCTTCATGATGCACCCTTTAAATGGAACATCCATCCACCCCTGGCCTCCCAGCCGTGAATTTCAAACAGCCTGGAAGGAATTACAAACAACCCCTCTATGCCCACCTCTCCCCCCCCCCCCCCGATTGTCCTCGCCTGCGGAAATCCGATGGTGCGGTAAAAAGCCACTTGGCCCTGGTGGATCTTGCTCTTGACCTTACAAGATTAGCCACGTCCTCCACTGGAGCCTGTATGCAGGTCACGTGATCGCTTACGTCCCATTAGGTTGACTGGTATATGGTTCAGTGCCTGTGCCTTCTACTGCTGTAAGTGCTTTTTGATAACGCCTTCAGCAGAGGCATCAAGTTGACGCGACAATTGGAACGAATCGTTCAAATAGGCTAACTTTTATTAAATTCCACGTCAATCGGGCATTCTTTTATCACTTCCCTGGAAATGCCTTTCAATTAAACTATTTTTTTTCTCGTAAGTGAGTGATCTTGGTTGTAAGTGATAGTAAAGCCTAACCATTTTGGTTTAAAACGCATATTACTATCAGGCGTGAAAACAAGTTGCAAATAAGTGCGCGAATGAGCGCAATTTGCATGTAGCTTTGTAATTATTTGAATACTATGGTGCCATTGCCAGTTAAAAACGGGTCATGACTTGAGACAGTACCTCAATGGTGTCGCATAGGATAATGTAATGATGTCACTAGAAGTATACCTCGGGCTATACCTTATTTACATGCATGTAAAGACCCTTAAAATCTTGTCCATTTTAACAACGTCACCAATTATACCATGGGCGATATATCAATCATTTTGTTAGAACCCATGTATTAAAGTAGACAACCTCTCTCGCAGGTGCATTTACAAGACATTAACTCACACCACGCTCTTTAACATTATAATTAAAGCTGACGTGTTTACTAGTCGTGCTGTCCATCAAGGCGATGCCACGTTTACATCAAAGTGAACTATTATTTCTATTTGGACAACCGTCTGTGAGTGCTCATGGGGAGAGCAGGCAATTTCCCAGGCCGTGTGACGCGTCGCAGAGTCCCACCAAGCAGACGGAGAGAGCACGGCAATTTACTCGGCTTTAACGATGACATATTGGCGACTGACAGTTTGCGTTCAGAAGCGGCACGTCACCCTAGAGTGAACCCCTTGCTTCTTTCTGACAGCACGTAATCTTGTCGAAGTGGTGAGATATATGAGAGTTACCCAAGAAAGATAAGAATAGACCTGTGCCGGCAACAACGGCGTAGATCGAGTTCCTCTTTCCGTATCTAGGTCGACCTGTGCCCCTGGCAGACCCTCGTTACAGTTGTCAGACAGACGCCCGCTTTCGGTGGGTGAAGTTCGCATTACCGAAGACATGACAATTCCTAAGAACGCAAGTAAAAAGCCAAAAATTAGCTTGCCAAGTGGCCTCAAGTAAAGATGAAAGAAATGATGGTCGGAATGACCAAACGTAAGTGCACGCTTTAATGTCAAGAAATGGTGACCGTTTGGATTTAAATAAGGGAATAAATGTGTGTTTGGGAGGTATTATAACACTCTGTTTAAGACCGGTTTGAGTCTGGATGGGCGATAATTACCCGAGTGTTTAATACCGACCGAACACACATTTATTCTCATTCATAAATACCTTTTCGGTCCAAAATAAAAAAAAAATGTCAAAAACTAGACGTTGCCAACCATTTTGTTCAACAATTTTACATCATGTTTTACGAAACACCCATCTGACTATAATATGGAATGCCCCTCCACAACTCGTTACCTTATAAGGACATTGGCGTGCGCGTCGCGCGTACTGCGCGATGTCGCGCAAAACGCAGCTGGGCTGGTGTAGTGTGAATTTTGGACCATGAAATACTTATTCACTTGTAGTACATTGCGCATGCATACGGGAGGAATTTGAACGTTCAGCCAATGAAACGTTAAAAGGCACCGGATTTCATTGGAGTCCAAATTTCATGTGACACTGGAAAAGCGTTTAAGACCAGCTAGCCATGTCTTTATCATCCGTTTAAGACCGGCCACGTGACGGGTTCTCGACCAATAGGAATGCGTAAACTGTCTGAGGTATTTATGAATGATAAATAAATAAACAACGTCAAATCGTGTCTTCTTACTTATGAGGACCAGCAAGTAATTCGACAAAATAACATGGAGAAGTATGGTGCTCAATAAAAGTTCTAGTTCAAATTATGTTTATATATTGTGAACTATGACGGCGTACAGACACGCGCTTTAAGTATAAGAAAATTCTTTAAAAACGTAATGGACTGACTTGTTGTTGTGATCTGGTCAGCTTTTTGTTTAAAGGTCAATATGATTTCAATATAGGGAGGTTGGAATAATATCGTTTAATTGCACTGAGAGCAAATATCTTCCCTTTTTCCTCTATTCTTCGGCGGCATCTTGAAGTGAAACCAGACCTTTTTCATCGATCGAGTAATGGAAAGTTGGTTTGTACAGCGGTGGTCTCTGGACAGTAGGAGAAGAGGACTCACTGTGTGGTTCCGGAGAATTAGAAAGATTATTGATGTGGGTGAGATTGGCGGCGGATTTGGTATGGGACAACACACCTGTCCGAAGTGCAACCATGGCGCATTGAGAATGCACACGCCTTAACTGAATTACGGATGGTGTGAGACCGTGCATTTCAGACACGCACGTCCCTCTGATCAAACGGTGGGCCGGTAAAGGGTAAACCGCGCGGCCTGTGCTGGAACAAACATGAACAAATAATAACGATTCTTCTCCAAGCGACTTCAGACAGTAGCTGTCATTGCATGGTCATGAGGGGTTTAGGGTTAGAGGAGAAATACATGGATATTTTGTATGGAGGCTGTTTGATATAAATCTGCATTTTGATTTGCATCTACTGCATTTGATTTGCATCTACAGAAACAAAACAACAGTTTATAAATCACAATCAGCTGAGGTTTAATAGTCAACACCTTCATCGCGCGTACCGAATGAAAAGCTCATCGCAAGCAGACTGGCAGGGTCGATCTAAAACAAGTTTGCTCTGCCAAAGGGTCGTGTTTCTTGCTCATTTCAGGCGCTCGCACCAATCGCTAATAAACTCCGTCACTGACACGAACTGTCATTGTGCGATGTCCGTCGTCATAGGCGTTTAATTGCACGGGACTGTCAACGCGCGTGCGATGAGTGCCAACTTAAACCTAGGCAATGACCAATGTAAAGAAGACGTAAATTGGTTTCGATTTGGTCCAGTTAACCAGACACCAGGGCGACCACGAATTCCGTCCCCAAGTCTCAAATCTCAAATTAATCAAGAATTTATAGAATTCGACCGGGACCCCGCTTTGTAGCCCAGTCTTTCGTTGTGAAAATCACACCAGAATGGTCTAGTTGCATTCCAGTCAAACCCCTACTTTACGGTTGGTTTATGCAGTTATTGCGAGCAGCAAGAAATGAATAGCTGATCATACGTACGCCACTGCATCGACTCCTCTTAATATCAACACTTTCTGCCACCGCCGCCGCTGAAAAAAATCCGCCGACTAAAATGTCATCGATTTGTTTTAGGTATCACGTTTGAGCTTGTTACAAAGGTTGGGTAAGTCAGTCCTGAGCTAATTTGAACAAGGTCCGGACTGTGGAGCGATCAATCATGCGAGTTGATCTCGGGGCCGAGCGACCCCCGGGATGGAAGGGGTTGGATGATTGCGAGGACTGCGCGCGCATCTTTTTTTCAGTGCGGTGTACATTAGGGTTGGTATCGCACAGCGCGCTAGCCCACCATTTCCAACAGACGGGCTTCAGTTACGAGCGAAGTGAGCAATGCGATGAACTGCCTCCGCGCTAGGCTGCGGTTAATATACATCGTGACTCTCATCCCATAGGCAAGGTGGTGTGGATGGCACGCCGATCGAACTCTTTGTGTTGCTCGTGTCTACCATAAAGGTATCTTTTGCTCCAGAAAGAACTGTAGATGCACCAGAGATTTCCTCATCATCATCGGTTTAGCCGCGAAGGATCGGCAGCTTCATGACAGGTAAATTCCATAAACTTGTCACGATTCCAGCCACGAGTTAGAATAGACTCAGGAGCAACCCACTGGAATGAAGTGCGTCAACAAATCACTTGACTCTTTAATTCTTGAACGTCAACTGTATAGACGGAGACTGAGTAATGGGCATGTGAAGTGTTAGTAACAGCTGCGATGAACGTAATGAAATTGTTGCTCCACCTTGATTGCTATGTTCTGAAGAATTCTGTATAGTGACTTATGCGCACATTTCCTAGACTTTTTTTTCTTCTAACCGTTGATTGAGAACTAATAGGGTAGTTACCATGGGTCTCGAGATAGTAATTGCCATCTTTCAGCTGCTCGTCTTTGTGGTCGGTGTGCCCGGAAATCTCCTCATTTTGCAGGTTTTCTTCAAGAAAACTCGCAAGACCAGCACCAACGTGTTCATTATGGCGCTTGCATCGGCAGATCTGATGGCCTGTTTGCTACGACCGGTCTACGTGGGGATGTCACTGGTGCTTTTCACAACGGGCGAGTATGCGTCCATTTGGATTGAGATAACTTACACCGCTTTCAATTCAATCACCGTTTACAGCTCAGCTATAATCACTGCCGCCATTGCTTTTGATCGCTACGATGCAGTTTGTCGCCCGCACACCAGACTTATGTCATATCGGTGCGCACAAGTTCTGGCCCTCATGTGTTTCATTATCTCTATACCGATGGCAATTCCATCTGTACTAATTTATTTCAACCATACCGTGCCTGCCCGTTTGTCCAAGCATATTGTAACTTTCAGTGCTTATATCCTAGCTCTGATTCTGGTTGTCGTGTTCTACGTGATGGTCTATAAGGCAGTCTTATTCCGCACTAAAGTCCGCACAAAGTGGGGTGGCCGATTCACTGGTATAACAGCGGCAGGAGAGACATCTGTCTCTATGACAGGTCACACGGAAGTCTCTGCGCTACCACTGTCTCGGGAGTTCACCAAACTCAGCCCCGTTACGGAGCAAGAAGCCTCGCAAGCTGGAAACCACGTTGAGGACAGAGTTCAGCCATCAGTACATCCACCGTGTGCTCAGTCTCCTACCAGTACAGCACCGACAGACTTAGAGATTGCTTGCGTCAGTGAAGACAAAAACGCCGTTGTTTATCATAATCTGGCAAACACTGTCGTACCATCTCCAGATACCACACCAGCGATACCGCCTCCTGCATACTCAGTGGCAATTAGCCCCGCCTGTCCACCTGCCACCCCTGGACCGTCTTCACGTATTTCAGGTGGGAACCTAGCCGTACCAAACAACTCACGGATTCCAACAAGCAGCAATTTTCCTGAGAGGACTGGATCCACAGGGAGAAACAGAACACCAAGTGAGAGAGGGAAGTCTTCAAAGACGGTGGCTGCAAGGATGCAGAATAAGACAACAAGAATGCTCCTGCTGACTACTATCGTCTTTTTCGTCACGTGGATTCCCTACATGTGCTTGTCTGTATTGAACACCTATTTCACGATCACAAACGAAAACATAAGACAAGAAGTGGGGGATGTCTTGAACACCGCATCGCATTTGTTGTTCGTCAACAATGCTGCAAACCCTTTCATCTATGTTCTCGCAAACAGGCAGTTCAGGAATGACTGTAAACGAGAGGTCCGTAAGTTAATGCGATCTTGCTCTAGACGCTAATAAGTTAAACATTGAAGCCGTTTGTACGCTTGAAGTTAACATTCCAATTTTTTTATCGATTTCATTTGGGGCTGGATCATTTCCAGTATGCGTGCAAACCTTTTAAAATACCCAAGTTGTTAGCTAACAAACGCCATCTGCTTCTAAATGCTTGTAAATAATTCGCGCTGAGGCGCACTGCACTAGGCCTATATGACAAAAGGCAAAACTGAAACCGTGATGGCAGAATTTCCTATGACGGACTCGAATTAATCGAATTAGAAACAAAGTCACCAGGAGGTTAATAACTTGATTAAATTTAATATTCATCTTGTGAGAAGACAAAGAAAGGCGCACTATCATATTTCTATTTTAATAAGATTGCTAAGTTGACGGTTTGAAAGCCGTGTCATAAGCAGCAAGAAAAATGCCAAAACATTTCAGTTCAAGAAGTGGGTGTTAAACAAGGCAAACGATTTCTGTTATCAGTCATACATAATCAAAAGCCACAAATGTTAATTATGTTTTCAATTTGTCCAACGTCATCTTTTTCAGCTTGCACTGAAGAGAAATGTTATCCATGGGATCAAAAAAATTGTTTTAACTTAAACCTGTAGAGTTACAATTAACGACACTGTACCGTTCATGATCTAGTTGTGAAACCTCTTATTGAGCTTTGTACACTTTGCATAATAATCGTAGATTCAAGTCTCTTAAAATTACAACATGTATTCTGGTATACATCTTAAGGGGTTCATTGGAGAAAGTGGATGAGATACGGCATCCGAGACTTGAATTAAGGCTAATAACCACGGCCACGAATCTCATGTGGTCTTGATATCAAGTCCAAGCGGAAAAGCTGCTTGGGATGCAATGTGGGGAAGATGTCTGTGAGGGTTTGATAAATACAAATCTAGGGCCGCGTGGATCATGGATGCAAGTCTTAAAGGTTCCAAGAAGAAGCGATAGTATCAAATCCTACGCTGCTTATCCAAGATCATTCCACGACGGCTGTGTTAAGTCGTGAGCTAGGTCTTTCGGGACTTCAAAGATTGAAAACCCGGTGGAAATCCATGTGAGATATACACGGAGAAAAGAATGTAACAATACATTATGACAGTTATTTGAACAATTCTCCTGTGCTTACATAAAACTAGTCAATCTGGACAATCGGCTGCAAAGAAATATCACTTCCTTTGTAGATCGAAGAAAATAATACTTATTAGTGAAGCTGTACATAGCCGAGGATGATTGTGAAACTTACGATGCGATGATGCAGCTTATGATTCACATGGTAGTTGTTTGTTATAATGCGCTTAAAATCGACATCGGAGGGGAATTCAAAACAAACAGACTCACAGATGGACATTGTGAGGGACACGATCAGAATAAACTTGATTTTCCGAATCCAACCACAAATTGAATTTGGAATTTTTACCTCCGTACACAAAGGGAGAACCTTGGGATTATTTCATTATGGGATTCTCCGGCAAAGGCCGGTTCAAGAAAAGGCCGAGGGAGGAACGCGAAAATGCCAAGGCTGCGTAGAGTAGGCTTGGTAATGCTCTTATGGGGTCGCGTTGTGGCTTGTATCGTGGGCGGCAGCGTCTCACGGGCTGGTTGAAGTACCGGGATAGGAAGAGATCTAAAGATAATGGAAGCAGGAAAAGATGGGGGGGGGGGAACCCAACGCTTGCTTGGAATTGATGGTATCATGGAGAAGGAAGTAACGGGAATTAACGATTGTAAACTTGATGAAAGTGCATTGTAGGTAGCATCAGTCGTGCTTTTTGGTATTGTGGCTTTTCTGATTACCTTTAGATCAGAAAAGCCACAGAAACACCAAATTGTGCAAAACAATTGTCTTGCCATGGAATCTACAGTTATAGGCTGTGCACAATACAGCCTTTATTTAATACGCTGAAAATAATGCTTTGTTATGTGATGTACCGGTGCAATATAATGTGAATTGTAGCCTAATTACTATTGCCGTAAAACGTTTTCCTTAATACACTAACCGTTTTAACGGTTATAATGTAAACCGGTAATTATTTTACCTTAAAATGATGTTTTCAATATGCAAATAGACTCAAACAAGCTTGTCTGTACTATTAACGACATTCGTCCTTGATGTTAAGACAGATATGATATATTTCTCCTTGTAAAAAATATATATATATATATACATATATGACTATATCCCGTTTAGCACGCTATATGCTGGAATTTCATGTCGAAATGCAGCTTCGAACGACCCCAATACTGATTTGTTGTACGCGATTTTAGATACTGATCCGCAGTGACTAGCGTCCTCAACTTAACGGTTTTTTTTTTTTAGAAACGAATTTTTTTTTCAGTAGAGGCAGTTGACATTTTGATTGAAAAAAACCCCAAAAAGCATCGTTGTAAATACAAGAATAATTATAGCTTCCATACTACAATTTTCTGTCAAATTAGGTTTTGCCCTTCACCGACGTTTAAACACTGTATACTCATTGTGTTACAATTTTCTGAAAATGTTATATTCAAAGCCAACTATCCCTGTTGTACATCTGTCTCGAATGATAGATTGCGTATACCCCTACATGTATTGGGCACAATTTTAGTGATGATCAAAGCCATAAAACTAGAATAGTCAAAATTGAAAGAAAAATAATTCAATATTTCTCCCTTACAAATGGAGAACATTTGCAGGCCGTTTTAAAAGTGTGTAATGGCGACTGACAGACTAAAATCTGACGACAGACATGCATGACTAGAGAATCCTGCGAAGGAGACGACTCCGACTGACGAACAAAACTATCGACGATTAACGAACAGACCTGTCAAAAAGACATATATCAAAAATGACTGACATTACTTATAAAAACGCACTTTCATCCGTCAATGCAATTATAATCCACATTTCGTGATATTTCGAAAGTATGTGTGCCCTAACTGTTTGCCTTTATACAGATACAATTCAAGGACAACTGTCCCTCGACTGACGTTCGACTATATACGACTTTTTACTGACAAACCCTTCGGACGGTTTAATTCATAGCCAAAGATATATATTGATATATATTTTAATGAAGCCCGTATATTTTGCTCGCAAGTTATAAGAATGATTGGCAAATCCATCAAAATGCATTTACAAACGGACAGACGGAACGGATATAAAACAAACACTTAGGCCAATACAGAAATGCAAATAGTCATTATAACTGTGGTATGGCACGCTGGTACTTTTGTGATTTTTGGCTTAACCTTGCTTACATTGTGCTTGTCTTGAATAATATTGCCTGTAAATGAGTGCAGAAATATTGCATTTAATTTCGAGACGGTGTTATAGGTATGAGACACGTGACTTTGTCATAATCGATAAGCTATTTAATGTCATCGATAAATCACGTCTATATACAGGCTGAGTAAAAAAAAAACGAAACCGAAATGTCGGGACCATTGTTTTAGTGAAGTTCTGCATGTAGCACTTTTTCAAAATCTAGGACATGAAAGCCCAATTCATACGCTTTCTTTTAGTACAAGAATCATTCAAATCCCTTATGTAATATTCAGGTTACGGAATTTTAAACACAACCACCGTTTTAAAGTTCTGTCCACGGATCACAAAAAGGTAAGTGTTCTTTCAGCAAATCGAAAACAAATCACGTAGGGATGTGTGTGAATTGTTTCTGTTATGCTGAAAGAGGAACACCGTTTTTGTGATCCGTGGACAGAACTTTAAAACGGTGGCTGTGTTCAAAATTCCGTAACTTGAAAAGTACTTGAGTGACTTGACAGATTTTTGCTAAAAGAAAGCTTACGAATTGGGCTTTCATATCCTAGATTTTAAAAGTGCTATATGCAGAACTTCATTAAAACAATAGTCCCGACATTTGGGTTTCGTTTTTTTTTTTATTCACCCTGTATAATGCTACTCTCAGTTTGACCTAACTGTTTAATAAATAAAGACATAAACCTCTTTTGTAGATACTATTGGTAGATACAGTGCTAATGTATGTCGTTATCATGTTTGATGCAGCTATCTATTATGATATCCGTATATGCATTCTAGACGAAGCAGTGGCATGATTGTGAAAAAGTATACATTTTGTTAATAAACCACGATGAGAAAAGCTAAGTGGTGTGTAAACTTTGTACTGCATGGTTTTGTCAATTGAACTTATGCACAGTCACGATTCGCTTCTGGGATTTAGCAGTTCATCCAGGGGAGACTCCCTTTGTGCCAAGGGATGGTTGGGGAGGAAAGGGAGGTATTTGAAGAAGTTTGTAGGTCTGGAGGGGGTACATTGAGCTCCTACTCTGGTTTACTGCAGTGTTATCTTGGAAACACCTGTCTTCCTCAGAGGCTTGAGCTGTGAAGCCGGCGCCGGATGCTGCTGTAAACCCTGCGAGGCAAGATCATACTGCGGTGGCTTCTGAACTCGCCCGATAATTAAACGCAAGTACGTCGTCTGCTTTGAGATCATTTTTTGAATGGTTCTCCCATGCATTTCGCGCTCGTGAAGATGCACAGATGTAAATTATGCGTGTAATAAGTGGAAATCCGATTATTGGAATTCCAAAGGGGCACTTTCGGGCGGCCATCCGGGGATAATTTTCTTGAGGGATCATTAAATGGGCCTCAACCGATAAAGAAAATATTCCATAAATTCCCTAGCTGGAAGAGCATGGGGTAAGGAGAGGGGATGCACAAGCCTCGAGTCCCCCCCCCCCCCCGGCTCCCCACACTAACTGGAAAATATGATAATTATAAAACCCATATAGACCTATCAATTGAAGGTTGCCTTTTACATGAGCAAATTTTACACATGTTCCTCCCTTGGATGAGGGCTCCGCGGTCAGTCAAGATGCAAGTGCTTTCGGTTGTGTACTATATGAACCTAGCAACCAGTTGTGTAAAAAAAAACTGAACAAGTTGTGTTATATTTTACACAAGTTGTGTAAACAACAGTTTACACAACGGGTTGCTAGGTTCATTTAGTACACAACCGTTTGATTTTTACACAACCGAAATAACAGTGTATATGCAACTGCCTAGTCAAAATATATCATGAATGGGCCTATCTACTTTTATAGTTCCATGGTTCTCCTTCCGTCTTTTTAGAGGGGAGGGGTGTGGGGTGGAGCATGACCAACATACCCGTTGCTGCATCATTGGATTTCAAAGCTTATTGGCGTATTGAAGATTCAAGGTTTTTCAAATGAGATTTTGGGATGCCGAAGGTGCATAATTAATCAGAATGAGCG